TCAAATAAACGCAGCGGCTTTGCAAATATTGGCACTGCACAACAAATTATCTGATTAMATTTGGGTCAAGACATTTGTTGTTGTTGCTGCCGTTCTGGGATACACTCAATGTGAGTGTGTGGCGCACAGACACACGCACACACGCACACAGGCTCAAAGCCAAAGCCGTTAAGCGGACGCATACGTGCACTTGCGGTTCGTACAGACGAAAATTAATTAAAACTTTTGCATGCTGTCTAGTATAATGTGTGCCTCTCTCTCACACACAGTCTAGCTCTCCCTCTCGCTCTATGCTTTGTTTTATTTGTTGTTGCTTGTTATTTGAATGCTTTTTTTTTGTTTCTATACACATGTTTATGAGCGCGACCTTGTAGCCAAGTTAACAATTTGGGCCACTCGCTGTCGCAATGTTTACAAATAATAATGGCATTTATGACCCTGCTCTACACTCGCACAGCTCTAACTGTGTATCTGTGCGAATGTGTGTGTGTGTGTGCGTGTGTGCGTGCTGGTCTGTACTTCAGGGTCGCTGGCTGCTTTGGGGAATTTCGTTCATCATCATTTTGTTTGCGGCATTCACACACTTATAGCCGCTGAAAGTGAAGGAAATACAGGCAGAGAGACAAGGAGAGAGAGCGAGAAGGTGAGCAGGAAAGCTGAGTAAAGCGCTCAGCAACAGTAGCAGCTCACCAAAGTGCAGTTTGTATATTTATGCTTTATACACGCTCAAGTGCAAAAAAGCAAGCATATTGGTTTTGCTTTAATATTCGGCTAGTTGCATCTACCATCTCTCTATCAATCCTTCAAAGTCTTTCTGGACGCTTGATAGCTGGTATACATAGTCGCGTATGCTTCTCGTCTTTGAACTCCACTTAGGGTCAATAAAATTCTCTAGAGTTAAGCGAATACGCAAGCGTTGCTCTGTTTAAAATTCTCCTGAAATATAAAGACTCACTTGAGCATAATCTCTCTTCATTGCTCTCAACGAGCCGTCGCGAACGAGTATTACGCAGTCGGTCACGCCCAAGTGCAATGCTCTGCCTCCCTTTTTGTTTTGCACTTTCGCTTGGCAGAGAATAACAAAAAATGAAATACAAAAATTAATTTAATGCTTGGCTGCGAAATTATTCTAAGCATTTCATATTCCATTTACATATTCCGCCATAAATGTAACATTTTAGTTTGAGCAGCACACACACCCACACACAGACACACACATGCATACATATAAAATATATATTATATATACAATAATTATTACGCTCATCATTTTGAATAATTTGCTGCAGCAGCAGCAGCAACTGGGCTCTGTCCAGAGCAAACTTCACGAATTTGCATAGCTATGAATTCAAACTTGGCTTGACCTGAGCATGGACTATGAATTCTGATTAAAATTTGAAAATCGCAGAATTAGAATTTTTTATAGAGCAGCGCTTAAAGGGGGCAAGGGCTTTTGTATATCTAAATTAAAATTGAAGCTGGTCTGAAATACTCACTAAAAATCCATGAGAATCGCATAGAGAGGCGATGACTTGCTTTCATTATCTGAAATGAAGTATAAAATACTAAGTACTAAAAAATATAAATAATATTAAATAATAAGTAATTAATAGACCAGTTAGTCTGCTAAGCAAGTCTACCCTTCTGGTTATTCGTCATTGCTTACAGGGTATTCTTTAAGCACATGTAGCTGTACCGCAGCTTCACACCTATGCCACGATGTATGCAAATTCCGTTAGTTCCCTAGTTTGCCGCAAAATATGCACAGCTGATTAAAGTATTTAAGCTTTCGCCACACTAATAAAACTTGTATGTATAAAAATGAATGGAGATATACATATATACGTACATATGTTTGTATGTGTATATAAGTCATAAGTATTCATACATGTATTTATTAAAGATTAGAAAATTATATATAATTCCGACTAACTTAAGAATTAAGCTTTAGCAACTGGGGTCTTTGGCTTTATATTCATATATATTTATACACAGCAAGGGGTTTACCACGTTGTGGTTGAGCTCAACTGACTGCATAATACTCTCTCAATTTCTAAAAACCAAATTGAGCTCAACTGACTGCATAATACTCTCTCAATTTCGAAAAATCAATTTTTTTTTTTTTTTTTTTTTTTTTATCATATTTTATATTAGACGACCACAAGCTATTTTATTTTGTAGTTGACCATTACTTAAGGATATAAATTCAAATCTTGGTTTGTTTCTAGAGTATATTAATCGTGGCAGAAATGAAATGTCTTACTCTGGGGCTCTGCTGATAGCTACGGGTTATGCGTAGCTATATTCTCTTGACAAATTTGTCAGGCATTATCTATGTCTATAGCTAGTAACTAGCTTGCAAATATAATAATTATCACCTTGTATAGACCTTCATAGATACCACCCCATTGCCTGCTATGGTTTATTCGAATTGATACGAACGAGCATATACTGCCATCTCACTCAGACAACCTTCTGCCCGCCCACTACTGACTCCCTAAGGGCTTTAATATATACGGTCAGCAGGCTACAAGACCAGCACATATACTCCCCTTTCACCCCATGAGCGAGCATCGATGTAAGCAGCTAAATTTAGGACAAAAAACGTGATTTGCTAATGATTAATAAATTGTGCAGTCACACGAATTAAACAAATATTACATCAAAATAAACATGTTGAGCAGCTAGATAGATATATGAGTGTATGTGTGTGTGTGTGAGTCTATGTATGAGTATGTGTGTGTGCGCGCAGGCAAAAGCTGGCAGACCGCCTCGTTGTTAACTCCATTAATTTGCAGCATATCAAAAACAGATTGACACTCTTAGCTGAGTGCCAGAGTGTATGTGTATGTGCGTGTGTGTGTGAGAGAGAGTTGGTTGGGATCTCAACAAGATACATTGAGCGATACATGTGCCCTCTGTGTGTGAGTGTGTGCGCGGCATCCTTTTAGGTGGCAGTGTCCTGTGCGTTCATGTGTGCGCCCGTCGTCAGGTGTTTGCCAGCAGCAGCAGCAGCAACGTATCTTCCTCTGTGAGTGTGCGCGTGTGTGTGCGTGTGAGGCATGCCTCCGAAATGTGTGTAAGCAACTGCAAACATGTTCGCACAGCTGCGCACTGTGGCATTAATTTCCGTTAATTAAAATAAATACGTCAAGCGATAATAAATGACTCGCTGATGTTATTAAATGCACATACAACACATCTCGGGCCGGGACGAAGCCAGAAAAATAAAAATGTGACACAAAAAAAAAGCAGACATGCGCCAATTGCAATTAGTTGAGCGGACGAGGCTTTAAAGTGCCTGCTGCAGCAAGGCAATCCAAAACCCCAAGCCCCAAAACCCCAAAGCCAAACACAAAGCAGAAGCAGGAGCTGGCTTAATTGATACGATTGAGCAATGGCTGCAAACATAAAATTTTCTAGCTAGACACAGCTGACCAGCAGCCCTCTCTCTCTCTCTCACTACCCTCCCTCCCTCTCTCTCACCCTCTTTCTCGCTTTGGCTTTATTATGCTGCATAAATTGTGTTAGATGTCAGCACGTAAGCTATGCTGTCAGCCAGGCATATGAGCACACCTGGGCGTGGCAATGGGCAAATACACAGCTAAGGCAAAATACAAATATGTTGTGTGCCCAAAACAGCTTTCAGTATGCCCAGATGCTGCTGCTGCTCCTGCTACTCCTGCTGGAGCTGCTGCTTACCTTGCAGCTGAAAGTAACTGAAGTGTGAGTCGTACAATGGCAAACAAAAGATTATCCTTGCCCTTGCTTCACGCGCTGCCTTTGGACACACACACACACACACACACACAGAACACACAGTTGCGTTCATTTGTAGCCAGGCAACTGGCTGTAGCTGTTGCTTCTATTGAAACGTTGAAGTAATGAAAAAAAATGTCAACTTGGGCAAGGGAGACAGCAGTATGAGGGAGCGGCAGCGACATGAAGATGAACAGAAAAAGGAGCAGTGGCTGCGGCGCACTCACACACGCACACACACACACACAGACAACACAAAAGCGACAACGGGCGCACGACAACAAAACATGTGTCAAACGCCAGACATTCTGAGGAATATTAATAACACTCACCGAACATATTTTTCATTAAAGCTACACTGAAATGTCAAGCAGCAACAGAGACACACACTAACACAGATACACGCACACAAACTTAAAGCTGATTATGCTAAAGTTCCTTTCGTTATCAATTTAATAATTGCATTTGAACTTGAAAGCTCAACGACGCCTTGAACCTGCCCTGCGATTAGCGCACATTTTTGTATTAAGGCTCTTTGTCTTGCATATGAGATGAAATGGCAATGATAAAAACCTTGGGGAGCATGCAGAGAGAAAGAGAGAGAGAGGGAAAGAGAGAGAGAGAGAGAGAAAGTCTGGCATGACTGTAGAATACTCTGTAATCAGCATAAAATAGAAATGAGATGAGATATGGCTTAATATTTAAGAAAATTATTTATAAAGTGCTTACAGTAAATGCTCGATATATCAGTTATGAATGACAAGATTTGCTATACTTAACATTTATATTACATAGAAATGTATTTTATCGCCAAAAATAAATATTTGTTGCACTTTCTAAATTTGTTCTCACATTTTAGAGATATTTTAGACAAGGGTATACAGTGAAGCTTAGGGCATAATTGCTTTAGGGCATCTCCAGTTAGTGCGTAGTTTTATTAGTCTGTCAAATTTTTAATGAAAGTAGAAATGCTTTCCTTTAAGCAAAAGAGAAAGTGAAAGGCTGAAAGGAATTCCATGAAAGGAATTCCATAAATTCTAATGCTGCTCTGACAGGCATTTGAACATGATTAAATTCTAAATGAAATTCACAAATATATTTAATAATTTTGCAATAGAAATGTTAATGAATGATGTACATTTCGGAAACCCAGTCAAATATTTTTTTTTTTTATCAGTACTAGACATTTTCATAACTCTCAAAAAATCTACAGAAATCCAGACAGCCAGTCAGCTATCCATAGTCACATCTACCCAACTATCTTAACTCGAAAACTGGCTAGACTAAAAAAAAAGTGGGCTGCACACATTGCGTATGAGCAATATGCCGAGGCAGCTGAGAGCTAACTTTACTTTTAGTGGCCCATCATTAATGCAGGCCGGAAAGTCGACATGTGGAAATATGCCAGACAAACACACACACACACACACAAACAAATACAGTCACACTCGCACCCACACACACATATACATATATGTATAAAATAAATTAGATGAACTTACATTCAACGCTCGCTCTGTTAATTAAACATAACGACGCAGAGCGAGCAATTCTCAAGTGAATAATTAAAAACAACAAGCGAACGGCTACAAAACTTTTTGGCTGCGAAACTTTTCCACTGAATTGAAAAAGCGGAAAAAAGGGCCGGAAAAACTTATCCAAATTGTCAACGGGCCATTCGAGTGCAGTCTGATGGTATATAAGTCGAGTGCAGCCCTCGAGCTGGGGCACAGACAGCAGCCGAGATGCTCTTCGAGCTGACCAAACCCGCTCCGCTAACGGAGCAAATGCGGTCCAGGGATGGCTGCATCTACCTCTATCGAGCCATGAAGTTCATTGGCTGGCGGCCGCCCAAGTCGGGGCTGCTGCGCTACGTCTACCTCACGTGGACGGTGCTCACGTTCATGTGGTGCACCACGTATCTGCCACTGGGCTTCCTGGGCAGCTACATCACGGAGATAAAGCACTTCTCGCCGGGCGAGTTTCTGACCTCGCTGCAGGTGTGCATCAATGCGTACGGCTCCTCGGTCAAGGTGGCCATCACCTACTCGCAGCTGTGGCGCCTGGTCAAGGCCAAGGACATCCTGGACAAGCTGGATCTGCGCTGCACCAGTCTGGAGGAGCGCGAGAAAATCCATCTGGTCGTCGCACGCGCCAACCATGCGTTCCTCATCTTCACCATTGTCTACTGCGGCTATGCGGGCTCCACCTATCTCAGCTCCGTGCTCAGCGGCCATCCGCCCTGGCAGCTCTACAATCCCTTCATCGACTGGCACGACGGCATACTGAAGCTGTGGACCGCCTCTACGCTGGAGTACATCGTCATGTCCGGTGCTGTGCTGCAGGACCAGCTGTCGGACACCTACCCCTTGATCTACACGCTCATCCTGCGCACTCACCTCGACATTTTGAGGGAGCGCATTAGCAGCCTGCGCACGGACCCCGCCATGACTGAGGACGAGAACTACGAGGCGCTGGTCAAGTGCGTGATCGACCATAAGCAGATCCTTGAGTAAGAGCTCTCACTCTGTTATACTCCATAATCTTTGCCCTCTGCCCCTCTCCAGCTACTGCGCTCTCATCCGCCCCGTCATCTCGGGCACGATCTTCACTCAGTTCCTGCTGTGCGGCCTCGTCCTCGGCCTCACGCTGATCAATGTTTTCTTCTTCTCGGATCTGTGGACGGGCATCGCCTCGTTCCTCTTCGTCATCACCGCTCTGCTGCAGACGTTCCCCTTCTGCTACACCTGCAACCTGATTATGGACGACTGCGAGGCCCTCTCGCACGCTCTCTTTCAGAGTAATTGGATTGACTCGGGCTCCCGCTACCAGTCGACTCTATTGTACTTTCTCCACAATGTGCAGCAGCCCATCGTTTTCATAGCCGGCGGCATCTTTCCGATTTCAATGAGCAGCAACATCAGCGTAAGTTTCACACAAAAAATATCTATAACAATGGCAATCGCATTAAAGCAAATTTTTATTATTTCTGCCTGTTTTTATTACCATTTGTAGGTCGCGAAGTTTGCCTTTTCGGTCATAACCATTACGAAGCAAATGAATATTGCGGATAAATTCAAGAGTGAGTAAGATTGCTGGGAGGTCTTGAAAGGAAATACGAATTAGTATAACAGTATGATGGCTATTTGAAAACTGTCATATGTAGACAATATTAGGCCATTTTAACAAATAATAACTGTCATATGTAGGTCTAGCAACTGTTATACATTTATTAACAAAGATACTGTAGAGCTTTTAGATTTGAGACTTACTTCGTGCTAGTTTGTATAACAGTTTTTAGCAATTTTTCTAGTTGACATATATTATTTTATTTAGGGTTGAACAAGTGATTTAAAAATGTGATACACACAAATTACTTATATAACTGTTATACGCATAGCTAGCAACTGTTATATGTATGCAAAGCATATGTATGTATGTAAGTCTCTTATAATTTAGATTTTGCTTTATTAAAAATTTCTAGTTCTGACAATAGTGTCACATGATTTTAAGGCAACTGTGCTACTATGTAGTGCTGTTTATATGTTGTAGTATTAAATGTGAAAAAATTTGCACTAAGAAAATTGTTGGTTATCAACAATAAAAAATAATGTGTGCTTTTAGCAGTAAGTAGTGGTAAATAAAATACTTCAATTTGGTTAATAAAACACATTTGAAAAAAATAAAAAATAAGTATATATCTCGCTGTTATACACAGCCCTAATCGGTGCTAGTTACTGTTTAAATGGCCACTACACATAGCTCAATCAAAAACCTTTGTGATATTTGAAGCAGTGTAGGTGAATATAGATGTCAAACACACACGTAAGTAAATTCATAACTGTCATATGACAGCTGTCAGATGAATGATAGGAAAGTGTTATATATAGCATAAGGTACAGTGGCTTTTATGATGCCTCAATGGCAACTGCCCAGGTTAAGCTTGGTAAATAATCATTGCAATAATTCAGCCAATATCTACAACTGTAATACGTGACTCAAATGGTTGTTATACACTACTCAGTGTTCTCATGGGTGGTGTAGTGTTGTATAGCTAAGCCTGTGACTGATTGCCAGTGTTGATCAATAAAAACATTTATGTTGTGTTAGCCTGCCTAATGTTTGTAAATACCAAATTAAATTAGCACAGTTCACATCAAATTTCATAAACACTTCAGTTATTGATTCAATTTGGTTTTTATGTATCATAAAAATACCAAATGAGAATTGTTTTGGTTTTATATTTCCACTGGCTCCTGGTATTGACTGCTGGTTGTCTTGGCCAACTTTTCGGCTATATTCATTTGCTTGACCAGCGTGAAAACAGAGAATGAGAACTTTGTGGCCTAAAGAACAAGAACTGTAAAATGTTGCCCAATTGAAGGTACTTTGACTTACCGCCAGATTCGTGGCCACCGAAATGGTGAAGAAATTCCCGGCCAGAAAGATAATGGGCTTCTGCAGAGTTTGCAGGAATTGAAGGACGATTTTCTTGTAGCGCTCATCCTGCTCGATCCAATTGGACTCGAACAGGGCATCCGCCAGCATCTGGCAGTCGTCGGCCAGGTAGTTGCAGAGCGTGCAGAAGGGCGTGGTCTCCAGCACGATGCAGCACATGAAGGATATGGCGGCGATGCGCGAGCCGAAGTTGGCGAATATTGCAATATTGATGAGCGTGAAGCCCATGACCAGGCCCACGACCATGAGCTGGACGAAAATCGTGCCGCCCACCAGGGGTCGCAAATTGTCGCAGTAGCTGAGGGAGGAGTGGGGGAAAGTATATGCAATGGAGCGCACACTTGTGAGGTTTGCCCGACCAACCTTAGCAAGAGTTTGTGATGCCTGATGCACTCGACGAGCTTGTCGATACGCTGCTGCCGCTTCTCCTCGGGATCGCTGCCCAGCTGGCGCAGTCGCTCCGCGAAGATGGCCATGTGGGCACGCAGGGGCAGGATATAGTTGACGGGGTAGCAGTCGACGCAGACGTCCTGGAAGCAGGCGCCCAGCATGGCGAAGTACTCGAGGCCCGACTGCAGCCAGAACTGAAAGCGGCTGGCGCGCCAGTCGAGCACCGGATAGTAGTTCTGAAACGAGGGCACGCCCATCAGGGCGGCGAAGAAAGCCGTGCTCGATGCGTACGTCAGATAGAGGCTCATGTAGCAGAAGAAGATCTTGTTGCTCAAGGCTACAGTGCGCTGCACTCGCTCACGCTCGCTCGGCAGCCGCACAACTTTGTCCAGCTCGTCGAGCATTTCGTTGGCCCGGTCGAGCCGCTTGATCAGTATCCAGACTATGATCACCTTAGTCGAGCAGGCCCAGGCATTGAAGGCCACCTGCAGCGAGGTGAGCAACTGGCTGGGCGTAAACTCGGACAGGTGCGAAATGTAGCCGAGCACAAAGCCAATGGGCTGGTAGAAGGTCGAGCTCAGGTTCAGCGCACAGGACCACAGGATGTAGACGAAGAAGAATCGCTTTGGCGGCGTCCTGATGCCCATCAGGAAAATGCAGCGCAGCAGGTAGAGCGAAGCCTTGCGCGACTCGACGACCGCAGACTCTGGCCCCTGGAACATATTCGAAAAGATGCGACGCAGCACCATGTTGGCTCTGGACACTTCTGCAACTACTGCCACAACAGAGCCTGGCCTTATATAGGCCCCCGAGCAGCCGTAGCCCCAAGGCTCTGCACGCATCCTGTGATTATAAACCCATCAATGCATCAAAGTGCAAAATTCATGCAAATCAATTAGCTCTGCCTTTGGCTTCCTTCAGCCGCGCAGAGCTCTCTCTACGCTGCCCAGCTACATCGACTGCCCGTGTAGCGCACTGCCAACAGTCTCTATGGCCGAGGCCTCTTTACGCTGCTCTTAGCAAAGTGCTAAAGCCCACAATACGGCGTCAATAATTGATTAATTCGGCTCGCTGTGCCCCGTAGGCGCTCCAGTGCGAGCCACTGCATACAAATTTCAATTAGTCGACGTGTTTTATAAAACTTTGCAACACTGTAATTAAATAACAGTTAAATACAACAGCAACAACAACAATGAGACTGCTTAAAGCACCTTCGAATGCGCCAAAGCTGCAAATTCAACATTGCCCGGCATTTAATAATAAAAACAATTGCAAATTGCAATACAATTAAAACTCAAATACAAATTAAAAATATATAATAAAAATGTATTTACATCTGGGAGCGAGCCGTTGATTAATGCGCATTGCCCTATCAAATATTTCGCAGAAATATGCCGTGATAATTGCGAGTAAAAGAAATTTAATTGCGGATCATGACGCGTCAGCTCAGTTAATAAGCATTTTAATCGAACGGATAAAAATACAAATATTTAAAAAATACGATATACCTGATAAAAAAAAAAATGGATAAAAATTAAACTGCTCTTCACACTTTATAAATGCGCTATTTATATTTAAGAACTTAATTCGCACTATATTTGATAAGGAAAAATTAATCACAACTCAAAAGAAATGTAGAAAATATTTAAAAATATTTGTACAAGTTTTTTTTTTTTAAAGTATTTATTTGTACTTTAAATAAAATTTCCCCATCTGCGTTACTTCAAACTCTTTTTAAACAAAGCTACTCTATACAGCTTTACCTACAGCTAGAGTATAAGAAAATAAATACAAAAATTAACATATTTGTGAAAATATGGCATCAAGCTGCACTTGAGCGTAAAGTATATTATTTTATTATTTATTTATTTATTTTATATTAAAGTATTTGTGCTGCGGGTCTCCAGCACAATTACCGCAATGCTGCAAGCCAGATATTTCACTTTTTATTCAATTAATTAAAAATAATATGCTGCCAATGATAAGCACATTAAGCATATAGTTCAATAATGGATTTTCGATTATTTATAAAATTATTATTAAGGCAAAAGCACAAGTGCTCAAGGGGAGTAAACGACTATCAGATACGGTGTAAAGTGAGGTAAACTGACATCTTTTAATATAAATCGTATAGTAACAAGCCACCCCCTTGCACATTGTGAAAGGATATTCCTGAATTATTTTAAATATTCTTATTCGTATAAATAAAAGCGTAAATATCAGATCAAGTTGCTGGTGAAATATTCGGTGGCCAGCGATTCCCTAAATGCAGTCGTGTCCGCTATAAGGCAGATATATCCGTTATGAATTCCCTGGACGCAATGAATTTTTGGCTTTCTTCCGCCGTTTCCGCCGCCGCATTCATTGTTCTGTTGTCCCGTTGACATTTTTGTCGGCAAAACGGAAGCGCCGTTGCGGCCATTTTATTGTGTTTTATTTTGAGGGGGGGCGCAGAAATGTTTCTGTTTTATTTTTGTTTCGTTTATTTATATTTTTAAATTGCTTAACGACTCGCTCACAGTTAGATGCTAGCACTCGAACGTCTTGCTGGCCAACTTGACTGGAAAGGCTTTGAATTTAAAGTGGTTAATTAAAAAGTTTTCAGTGTTCCGCTTTCGACTCTGACACCTTTTTTGGAGCCTGGTCGAAAATGTGTCGCAGTTTCTTAATTAAATGAACACAATGCAGCTGCGCCTGTGGCCTGTTGATTGTGGACCCAATCAAGGACGACACCTGTCACAGGCATGAATTGGGTTTTAATTTTATATTCTCTCAGGCACACTCTCACTCTCACTCTCGCACGTGAGAGTTCTGCCGGTTACGGCACTTAAAGTGTCTAAATGAATGATCTGACCCGTTAACAGTTTAAAGGTGTGCTAAAATCGCGTATTGATTGAGTGCGAAATAGTCGAGCGAGGGTTGTCAGTATAGTAGGCATCACAGACGGGAAGGTAAAGAAAATTTGGCGAAGAGCTGACTGAATGAGCAGTTATGGACTGAGAGTTGTTCAAAGAGCTGCTTGAATGAGAGCTGAATTAAAGTTCGGCGAGGGTTGCCTAAAGAGTTACTTGACAGTTGATTAATGTAATCTCGATTATTATTTAATTAGACCTAGGCAAGACTCGCCCAAAGAGCTGCTAAAGCTTACTAAATCTAACACAAGCTTAGAGGAGAGCTGCTCAAGAAGTAGATGGATTGAGAGGGGAAGTATGGCTTAGCTTGAGTTTCTTAAACAGTTGATTGGGTGAGACCCAACATGAGCGTTGATAAGAGTTGCTCAAAGAGTTGATTGAATGAGAGCTGAAGTTACTTGAGTGAGAGCTGAACTAATCCCAGGATTAGATAGAGAGAGAGAGAGAGAGAGAGGGATAAAGAGTAGACGTTTACTCGAGGAATACTCCAAGATTTGATCATAGAAGAGCTGCTAAAAGCCTAGCCAGGAGTTGTTTCTTAAGCAACAACTGATGTGACTCTGAGAGCTAAGCCAAAAATGACTACACTGATAGCCAATAATAAGCTTCGGCGAGGGTTACTTAAGGAGTTGCCTAATTGAGAATTGCCGTGAAGCTTGACAAAGAGTTTCACAAAGATTTGATTGAATTGTAAGTCACATAAGCGTGTGCGAGTGTTGCCCAAACAGTTGATGACATGTGAACTCTTTTCAGCCAATATAAATAGACCGAAGAAATGCTCTCTCCAATGTCAAGAATTTGCGAATAACTCACACCTGAGCCAGCGAGTACAGGGTCTCATGTTGACAAACAACAGCGCGACTTGTTTTTTGGCTTTGAAGTGTGAGAGAGAGGGAGTGTGAGTGGGGCAGTGGCACGGGCTGTGGTTGCGCCTCATGAGCAATCAACATCAAGTTGGCTGTCGCGCAAATATTTAATTTCAGCTGGCTGTTATTCTAGCTGTGGCTGCTTTCCATTTTTTTCCCATTTTATTTTTTGGCCTTGGCAATGGGAAGTGGAAGTGGAGCTGGCAACAGGTGGCGCATTTTATTGCCGAAAAGTAAACTCATTTGCACTTGAAACCTCAGCAACAAGTCTGAAGGACACTGCGAAATGTTGATATTAGCCCAGGCGAGGGGGAGAGAGATAGAGAGAGAGAGAGCAGGAGATTGAGTGAGGCAAATCAACAGTTGGCTTTGAGGTCAACTTCAAATGAAAAGCGAAGAGCAAAAAGCGAAACGACAGCTGCGCTCAAATGTTTTTCCAACTTCAAAGTAAATAAACATTGCATCGCATTTCACAGCAGCAGCAGCAGCAGCAGGAGGAGCAGCAGGAGCAGGAGGAGCAGCAGGAGCAGAAGCAGCAGCAGCACTCGGCTGTCGGCATGACAAAGGTCTGTAGCTGTCTAAGCGTGTCGCCAGGCCTTGTGATTGAGATACACATCTTGCTGCTGGGCGTGGCGATATTCTTCCTATTCGATCTGTACAATCATGCCTATCGGCACAGCGTCGAGGGCCTCAACACGAGCATATCCCTGGTGGGTCTGTCGCCCCGTGTGACGCTCGCGCGCGGCATCACGCTGTGCATCGTCATCGTGAACAGCATCCTGGGCATACGCCTCTCGCGCTCGATGACGCTCTTCAAGTTCTTCGTCTACATGCTGCTCGGCGCCTACAACGCGTACATGTCGCTGGCGATCGCCGTGTCGCGGTTCCTCTACACGGACCGGTTTCGATACTTCACGGACACGATGCTGCTCTACTCGTGGAACATGGGGAAGTACAAGCAAATTGAGCTGCTCTACGACTGCTGTGGCATGCACGGCGTCATGGACTACATATTGACCGATCGCCCCTGGTCGAAGGACGTCTGCTGCGGCCTGCCCCTCTGCAAGGGCTGCGAGGTGCAGGTGAGGACATGAAAACCATCGAAAGGCAAATCGCACGCGACAACATCGCCCTCTGCATAGCCACCATCATCGGCCTGGTCTTTGTGCTGTTACGTAAGATGAGTGTGGTCATTGTCGAGGATCCGTACGAGTCCGAGTCCTCCGATTACTCGGAGGACGACACCACTGAGTTGCCGCCCCTGAAGTCCACCAGAGACCTGAAGAAGCGTAAGCGCACCAAAGGAACATCCAAAAAGACTACAGCGCCCGAATCGGTGCTCTGAGGCAGCTCGCTTATTGGCCAGCTCTACGGGCTATTAGTAGCCTTATTAACGACCCTTGGCTTGATTTGCCCAATTGAACTTTAATTCAATGTGTTCGGCGAGCAGACAGTCTGCCCGTCTCCCCCTCTCACCCACTCACTTCCTCATTCCTGTGTGTTGTTGCTTGATGCGCCTCATTAATCGAACTGGGCTTCAAAATCGTAGCCAAGCTCGGCTGTTGTTAGGGCAACGTTGCGCGCATCTAATGGCCGCACTTAATTAGCTTTCAAAATAAAATGCTCCCTCGCTCTATAGGTATATATAATATATATATATATGTGCAGCTTTGTAATGGCTTCGATTTCAGTTCAATAAACGATTATGGTTTTATTTGGTCGCTTTAGCGTGCGCTCAGGATTTATATTTCTATGGCGCACGGTGCGTATGATTAATGCGCCAGCTCTAGTTCGCTGAACGCATCATTTGCCACGCCCATTTTGGATACTCTCCGTCTGGGAGCCGTTTAATAGACTTGTTATGGCACATAAGCACAGTGAAACTTTTGAAATGCCATCACTGTGAAGCGTGTGCACTGGCAGTAAGTGCTATCAAAAAATAATAATACAGCTCCGAGTATTTTCATGAAATGAAATTTTCATGAACTGCTTCGACTTCGACTCGAGCCGTGGCCACACCACCTACGCCCGCTCTCCCTCCCCCTCCCACTCTGTGTCTTTACAGGAAATAGTTTTTGCAACTTGCTTTGTCATTTAACAGCAAGTGCAGCCTCAGATTGTGGCGGTTGGCTGCATGGGTTGGGTCGGGTCGGTTTGGCTGGGTTCGCCCTGGGTTGGGTGGGTTCATTCGGCTGCATCCGCAGCGGTTTGTCTAAAGGAAGCACCGCCAGAAAATAAACAGCCAGCAAGTAGGATGCGCAATGTAAAAAGGAAGTGCGCGAAATTTTTGCACATTTTTGGGGCCAACTACTTACTGCCATCGCCATTGCCATCTCCATCTCCATCCCCATCGCCGCCGTCGCCGTCGTCGTCGTCGTCGTTGCTGTCGCTGTTGTTGTCCGTTGCCTGTGCCTTTCGCCCAAACTTTATGACATTTTAATGATGTCGACATTTATGACAGTTGGCTTGAAGATCTCTCGCAATGCTTTGACAGTTCTGGCCTTCTCTCCCACAGCCGACAAAAATTGAGAAGAAACTCGCTCGTTTAACGCTGGCGACAGCCACCGCAAAATTGAAAGCCAAAAATATAAATCGAATTGAAGTTTTTGCGCTCGGCTCTCTTTCAGCCTGACAACTGCAGCAGTTCGGCTGCTCGAAAAAAAAGTTAATAAAAGGAAAGCGAAAGTTTCTTACAACTAATTTTCATTAAATCAAATTTTGAAATGAGAAAATGTAAAAGGGAAAACAGTTCCGAGAAGCCTTTGCATGCGCCTGAAAGGATATTATATTAAATATATATATGTATATGAATTATAGCTGATAGAACTTTAGTTATGATAGCTTCTCAACTGTAAAGTTTGATATGCGGTGGGAACAAGTTTGATGCAGCGAAGAGAAGCGACGAGAGGCGAAGGGAAGAGATGAAAACGTTTTGTAGCGCTTCGAAATAGATCATATACTTTGCTAAGCCCAATTCATTTCAACTTGACGGGAAGTTTGAATATAACTGATTGCAGAGTAGAACTTGAGCTATATATAGGTATTTATGGAAGAAAAAGAGAATCTATCGGTTCATAAAGGAAAAGGATTCTAAATTTACGAATTATATTTTCTGTAAAAACTATTTGATATCTCATTAAGATCTACAGAATGCTATGTATGTATTGCTTTATTTATATGATCTAATATAGTTAACTCTAATGAGAGAGCGAGCGATAATTAAGGACTCAGAGAGATAGTTTCTGACTCTTTCCCACTCATTGAACAGTTGCCCAAACATAAGCTCAGCTCTCAACTGAAATGCGCCCTCTAAGCGATATTCTGATACGATGCAGTCAACTCTAATGAGGGAGGGAGACGAGAGACTCAGAGAGAAAATTTCTGACTCTTTCCCACTCAAACATAAGCCCAAACACAAGCTCAGCTCTAAACGATATTCTGATACGATTCAACTCGAATCTAAATATAAATTTCTATCAAACTGTTGTCTCGTTGGCAAACAGAGAGCCCCAGCTATAGGGAGCCATTTAAGCCAGCTATAATACGGCCAGTGCAAACAGAAGTTAATTATTGCAGTTTGGGTAAAAAGCGCTTTCATGAGAATATTTAAGCAAACTCTGCTTGCTGTATACAAATAGGTTTTAATACATTCACAGCGTCTGATGTGTGGCGTTGGGCGAGCTGTTGAAATTAATTTTGCACAGTTTGTAAATCACACACTCGCACACACACACACACACATGCACACGTAGCTAGGTTGATTTGTTGCCCATCGTTGTGGCTGCTTACCTGTTTGCTCACCTGGCACAAAGGTAGCCCCGGCCTCTGGACTCTGGCAATTGCACACGGCTTTTGCCAACGAAACAGATTGCAATGGATTTTGTTCGGGCAAATATTGTGACATAAATCAATCACTTCAGCACAAACACACACACACATACACACAACAACAAGCAACATGCAACATACAACATACAACATACATGACATTTATTAAAATTTTATATAAATTGTGTTTGTGTCCAATGTGTTATGAAGCAAAGCACAGCACAGCGAGACTTTTCGCCCCCTGACAATTCTATGAAATTCCGAATGACCGAAAAACCAAAAGTGACATTCAACTTAATGCGCCAAAAGCTCACTTTTTAATTAAATATTATATATGTATAACATACATATGTAGGTGTATACATACGCTGACAGCGGTAAATGTAAAAACAATGTTTTCTGCGAATTGCATTTAATATATGTAAAAAAGCTTCTTCTTGCAGTGTGTAAGGGAGTATATTGGCTTAAAAAGAAGAAAGGGGCATAGGTGTTTGTTCGTCTGCCCATTAGTCTACATATATTTAATGAAAGGTATATAGGTTATGCTATAGACTCATGAGTGTATCGTAGAATCAACAGCCCATGTAACAAATCGGGAATTAATATCATAATCAGCATATATCATATCATTCATTGTAAAAGTGAATATATTTATTTGTATGGTTGTTCATATGAGAATATAAAAATGGCTATGCTAGTACCCTAGCTATATTGCTATACGCCAACCGGGAGCAAATCAGATTTTATAATACAATATCTTCCTTCATTTATTGTAGAAGCAGATTTACAGATTTATCTGCATGCTAAATATTCATTCTTTTATGTATATGATTATATGTATGCGATAGACATGGAATTTTAGATATATAAATT